ACAAAACAAAGATTTACCAAAAAAAGGAACAGGCTGAAGCAAAGCTTATTATTGCCTACCCTGTTTTATACTTACAACCTTTACAACCTACCAGGTTCTTTACTGCATATATAAATATTCAAATCTACATAACATAGGATTTTATCATTTTACATTTTAAAGCCCTGTTAAAATTCACCAAGAAAGGACATAACTTTAAATCATCATTCAATTCATTCCACATTTTCACACCAATAACTGAACACATCTAGACTTTATCTGGCTGTTCTCTTTTGCACATTCAAATATAAACAAACCTCACAAATTATATTTATTCTTTCTTAACTTAAATAATTTCTGAATACCAGAAGGAAGACTTTTGTTCACTGCTTTATGCAAATGTATAATTTGTGCTGTTTGGTGCTTTACAGATGACGTCTGCAGATGAGATAGCCCCGGTCTTAAAGAAAGTCCAAATGATGGATGAATCTAGTGAGCCAGATCAGCACAGGGATTCAGATGACAACTGGGAGCCAGAGGACGAGTCTTTGATTTTGGATTCTGATGACAGCTGGGAGCCAGAGGACGAGTCTTTGATTTTGGATTCTGATGACAGCTGGGAGCCAGAGGACGAGTCTTTGATTTTGGATTCTGATGAGGATTATATTTCTTCTGACGAAGACACGGATGATTCTGCTCCCAAACACAAGGAGCTCTGCACAGAATGTGGAAAGTTATTTAAAACAAGGAGGCCTCACATTTGCGACTATAAAATTAAGCCCTTCCCTTGTAACATCTGTGGGAAGAGGTGTGTCAGTGAGCAGGCTTTAGCAATCCACAGCAACATACACAATCCAAACCATCAGTTTCTATGTAAATTCTGCCTTGCTGGGTTCAAGACTAAAACTAACAAGAATAACCATGAACAGATCCACTCTGGTGAAGAAAGACCTTATAAATGTCCCCACTGTTCTGAGATGTTCGACACGTTCAAGAACCGCCAAGTCCATATGAAAGATCACCCAGAACAAGGTCTGCTAAAATGTCACATTTGTGGGATGGAATTTTCGTATTTTAATGTTTTCCAGAGACACCTGCTGGTGCATACGAGAGAAAAACCATTCA